ATTAAAAATACCTGTACTAACAATATTATTAACACTGGAGAAACGTCACGTAACATTATAAATACCTTATACTAACAATATTATTAACACTGGAGAAACGTCACGTAACATTAGAAATACCTTATACTAACAATATTATTAACACTGGAGAAACGTCACGTAACATTAAAAATACCTTATACTAACAATATTTCATGTGTTTTTTATGTGCCTGTTGCTATTACCATGGGTTTTCATTCAACTTTTATTTAAAACTAGAAAATGGTTTCCCATTGCTAAGTTAATAATAAGCTCCATATAGGCCTTTGATTTTTAATTGACTGGGTCTTTGAACTTTGACACAAACCAATGTAACATGACATAAAGATTATTAACCTATATCCTTTCAACCATGAAGGAACACACCTCATACACGCTCTTACTACATAGGGTCAAATTATTAATTAATACATATGTCACAAAACACCTGCTTCGTTACGAGAGATGTGCTTTAATGTTCTTTTTTAGCTCAGAATAACTGTTTTATGAAAGTGTTAACATTAGAATTAGTCCCGTGTCTTTTTATTTTTGCCTAATACCAAATTTACCATGTATTTCATTTCGGTAAAAATGAGGAAAGGTTGCGACATCTCTCCATGATTTTTGTCGACAAATGCCAAAAAAAAAAACAACAACAACAAAACAATATCCGATGTGATAGGGTTAATCGTATTAACGCTTAAGTAGCAAAATGATATACATGCATGTTAGGATATTTATTGTAAACTATATGTTTTGTTACTGCTCAGATAATTTATTACCTATCTAAATAATTGCAATAAAGTTTTAGGCTAGCATAGGTCTTTAGTTTATTATGGTAGGCTGATGCAAAGTAACTATGTTTAAACCTACGTGTACAGTTTGTTAGCGTTAGTCGAGGAAAATACTAAAGCAGACTGTGATTCTTTGCAAGTTTTCTTGTACACGGTCATTGTAGCAAAATATGTGTGGTTATTATGGTACACAACGCCATATGTTTTTTTACAAGTATTTTTAGCCGCAGCATAGCAGCTCAAAGAATGGCTCTGAGTTGTTTTTGTTTTTTCAGGTACAAACGTTTAGCTCATAGCTTCATCTCTTCACCTATTTGATGTCTAATTACAGCCGCGGCTATTGAGGATTCTCTCCTGTTGTACACTGTCATTGGTAGTAAAGTAAGTGTGGTTGTTATGATACACAACGACCTATGCCACCAAAGCGTGATGTATATATAGTTCAGTGGTCTGTATGACATTACACACCGCTGGAACTTTAAAATTTAAGTAAACTTATTTGCAACTTAAGGTAAATTACATGTGTAGTTATATATAGTTCATGCATAAGTTATAAATGTCACCACTCTTTGTAAATTACAAATTGACATGAGAATCTCCCGTCGTTTTTTTGTACAATAATCAAAAAGTGCATTTCTTAGCTAACTCGTCAAATTATAAATATTAGTGACATTTATAAACTGACAAGTCGACTTATAATAATCCTGGGTAACAGAGATGACAGAACCACTATGTATGTAACATATGAATTGTCCATACAATTTAGCTTCAATTGGAAGGTACTCTTGGCTTCACTGCCCTTCAACGGCTGAGCGGTAAATCTGAGGGCTCACACCGCTAAAAACCGGGTTTCGATACTCGTAGTGGGCACAGCACAGATAGCCCATTGTATAGCTTTGTGCTTAACATCAAACAAATAAAAAGCTGGTTTCCAGTAGGTGGAACATCTCGCGTTTTTATACTGCTCATATCATTTCCTTAACTTTCCAGAAGGAACTAGTCGTTAAGCCACGTTCATCATGTGACGTAAAAAATCCCTCCAGCCAACAATAATACAAATGCTTCCATATGTCTTTCATCGACACTGAATGTAATATACGTTGGCTTTTGCTGTTTTCTTGGTGGAAAGCTATACAATGGGCTAAAGGCATTCTGTACACTATGGGGATTTGAATCCCCAGATTTTAGCGTTGCAAGTTTATAAATTCACCACAGATCTACTGTTGTTACAGTATTTATAGTAGGGTTGATATGTTGTTGTACAATCATCTTTAATTTTTGTTCCTAAGTTCTTAAAATTGGGAACTAATGTAGTCTTCCCCTGTTGATGTTGTATTTGCTTGAACTGCTGCCGCCCATGTAAGACTAGTAGACTGTTCCTCTAGTTCTTCTGGATGTTGAGTAATAGATAATATAAGTAAACATAAATAATAATAATAATTATAAATAATTTTGGTTAAATTAAACAAATAATATCGTGTTATTAATCCTTACCTTAATTCTAATATGTAAATGACTCATAAAAATTGATAAAAAAAATTGCATTTCTCCAACTTAATCTAGATCACCCTATAACACTTGTTGTTCATACAATTTGATATTATAAATAGCATCTCAACCTATATTGATTCTGTTGTATCCCAGCCTACCTGGTAAATCCTGGTATTGGACAAAAGGTTTCCTTAGTACTGTATATAGCAGATATATTGTGGTTGACTCATTCTTATATATTTTTCTTTACTTTCATTCATAAGTTCTTAGAATTGGAATAGCCTACAACAGCAAGTATTTAATTTTTGGGTGTCATTTGTGGATAAATAGCAACGAAACTTTAATGTTACCTTCCAATTATATAATTAAAAGTGAAATCCCAACAAGTTAGTCTCAAGGTGTAATGGCCACGACCTTTTCTAAGTTAATAAAACATAATGTTCCCTGTTTGCATATGATATTAAGATAACCAATATTAAAGAAAAAACTGGCTAGTGGTTATTGTGCTGGACTGTGGACCCAAAGGTCCATGGCTCGTGTACCATTACCTAAAAAAATCGTGCACCATACTGGGGCTATGGATGCATAATGAGAGTGTGGTGTGGTATGCAGGCATATTGTATGTTTTTTTAACTTCTTTTGTAAATATAGGAATTAAAAAATAATAATAAGTGTGATTCTATGGTGATTTCACATAAACGGGAGGTCTAAAGAACTTTCTACATTGTGCAGGATAGGTCAGTGGCAACATTGTCCTTCAATGGCAAAATAAATTATTTGTAAAGGTAATAGTATTCACTGTGTTGTATTAGAACAACCAGTCACGTGGGAACGCTCGTTGTTATGGGTGAATTCGATGTTTCCCGTGATTGAGGAGCGTTGGATTCACATTCATTCTACTATATTTCTGTATGAGTTGGTTTAAAGTAAAACACCTGGGGAGACTAAAAGTACTGACCGACCCACTGATTCTCCAGAAGGCATTTGTCCAGTCAGTATCAACACAAGTACACACAATGTGGTATATTTTGCTTTGCAATATAATAAAGGTGTGTTTCACTTTACATCACATATCTAGGCTGTATATTTTCTTAGCTTAAACTCCAATTTACTTCGCAATTTTCCATTATAAGCAGAAAATTTGAATACTTTCACGGAAATGTGTTTCACTTGAAAATACCACAATGGTTAAGTTTTTGGTCACTCCTGTATCAGGAGGGAACTATCTCTTGTTCTTGTGTTCCAACAATTACATACCAAGACCCACCCAACCCTGAGAGAGCTGGGCAGACGACCACACCATTTGGTACAAGTTGTTGGTTGCCTTTTCAAAAATGTTGAATAGATGTAGATATTAGTGTTCATTCATCAGTCTCATATATTAGCAATTCATAAATCTTTATACATCTTGTGATATTCTCAGATTGACTGATTTCCACAAAGAGTGTTAGATAGGTCTACTTCATAACAGAAGGATCATTACAGGTGTAAATTTGAGTTTAGCTAAACTGATCTGTGTTTTAAGCTAAGAAAATAAACTAGTGTAGAACATAGGATGGTTGCCATTTACAGTTTCAGTGAATCATCATATTTTCTTGCCTAAGGATTTTTTCCTGTCAACCAGTATACATTGGTAACCTTGTAGAACTTTGTGAATCTAACCCTCCTTACTTAACAGGAAACACCTGATTCACCCATAATGATTAGAACATATCGTCTGTATAAAATGTATGTTCATATTTTCTGTAACTATGTTATAGCTAAACTTTCAAGGTCTGACATTATTATACTATGTTGTTATTATTCAATGGGTCAGCTTTCACTTGTTAATTGTTTTATTTTTCAGTGAAATTAATGTCTTTTCACAGCATTTAAAAAAAAAGTTATTAATTCAAACTCTTAAAACAATCAATGTTTTTGTTTTATTTTCTTTTGTAGGTGGAGATTATTAGGACTATCATTAAAAAGGAGCTAGAGCTACCAGTTGTAGAAATTGCAGATCCAAGTGCAACAATAGAAGGTGGTGATGTACTCTTTACAGGTAAAAATACATAATTCAGTGGTTTCCAAACTGTGGGGTACACCCACCCACCCTTGGGGGGGGGCATGGCCTTTTGCCAGGAGAACCCAAAAATAACAATGAAAGAAGCAGAAAAATATGAAGACAGATAGACTAAGCTAATAAAATTAAAACTTATAATATAACAAAAATAAATTAAGTCCCACCAGGAGGCCAGTTGGCAACCCTGTTGGTAGTGTTCCTTGTTACTAGTGTATTGCATGTGAAGGAGAGGAGCCCCCGAAAAAACTAATGCTGAGTTGGGGAGAACCACTGCATTAATTTAAAATTGTCATTCTTAATATGCACATTATATAAAGATATATTTTTTACTTAGTAAAACAAAACAAGGGTCTATTATTATTATTATCTGAGTATTTGTTATGCAGTGTGTGTGTGTGTGTGTGTGTGTGTAATAATTTGAAAATATAGGAAAACCAATGTCCCCTGACCAGAGCTTGAAGTTAAAACTAGGAAAACTGGTTCACAATAGTGTTTTTAAATTGATACTCTACCAGTTTAGATACAAGGAAGAGCTTCAAGCCTCAAGTAAAAACTCCACTAATTACAAGTTGACACTTCTACTATCCATTATTGACCTGGTACTGGTACGGAACTTTAAACTGGTACATGGACAGTCTTTTAAGAATCCTTGATATGTATGGAGTGACAAGTGGACTAGATCTAGCATGTTGATGTAATGTAACACTTCTAAATGTCAGTTGATCCTGATCTCATGTAGAAAGTGAGTGTAAGTCTAGGTGGTTTTTTTGACAAAACAGTCAAAGAAAGACTACTAAGACTTAAATAAATCCGGAACCCTGCTGACCTGGAAATAGAGAACATGTTATTATTTGCAGTATTAACAACATATTAACATAGCCTGTATTCATGCTATACATTACAAAACAAACCATTGCTCTCAGTTAGATGACTGATACTACAAAGACGTTAAGGGTTAATCTAGAGGTGTGGAATTTTTGAAAAACCTTCTTGTCCAAGAGACAAAATGCCAAAGATGTCTACTTGTCCTTATAAAATCTACTTGCCCCATAAAACACACTCAACAAACATTGCATATAAATTTTAGGATTTTGCCTTTTATTTAAAAGTGAACAGTAAATAAAAAATTCTGGGATTTACATGAAACATTGAGAAAATGAAATAAGATGCACTGACAACCTATTTGTTTACATAACATCTATGAAGTTAAACCTATAGTGTGTATTTATCATGATATATATATTAAATGTGTAATTTTGCAGACACCTAACAAAGGTATTCTACACAGATGCAGTGTTGTTGTTTTTTAAAGTTAGTAAAATGACAATACCTAAATGTGTTTTTAAAAGTGCCCAATTTGTAAGATGCAAACCCTGAAACATGGATTCTATTTTTACTGTATTTTCTATCTGATGCCACCTGTTCATTTTTTTACAGTGCAAGATGGATAAACCAGATGTATGTGAGTAATGAGTATTAATAATCATATTTGAATTAAACACATATTAAGAGCTCCAATTTACTATGCTGTATATCCAGTTTCTGCCATTTTGAGAAAATGAGGTTTTTTTTCAGCTTTAACAAAAAAAAATGCTACGAAATAAAAGCTGGGCTATTTATTAACTAAAATCATTGCAAATTATTATATAGAAACTTAAAAAATCTAATTTTATTATTTATTTAAAATTGTATAATATATATTTTAATTTATATCTATAGGTTTTTTTTATTCAAAATTCTGCACATCCATCAGCACAATGCAGTTGGCCACTCAGTTTTGTCAGAAATGACGTATAACACATTTTACATCTAAGCTCTTCAGATACATTCATTCATATACTTATGTTTTTCAACAAATTAAAGGTGCTTGTAATTTTTATTGTGTTTGTAGAGCTGACAGTCAAGTTTTACTGGGCTCCTGCTGTAAACAAAAGCAATGTAATAGTATTATTGTATTAATATAAATATGTTTGTTACTCTGTGTGTGTGTGACTGTGGATATATGAGTTAAAGGGATATGTATATTTTGTAAATAGTTTTGGTTTGAGGATTAGAGAGGTGCATTTTCAAATGTTTCTGGGCACGTGCTTAATTTATCTTGTTCAAAATTTCATGAACTTTCATGGCTCCCTATAGATCTATTTGGAGTGTTTTTTCTAGCAACAGAACAAAGATATGTAAAATTTAAACTACTTGCCCAATGGGCAGAGTATAATGGTAAAACTTGTTCCTCAGACAAATCTCGTTGCCCCAGGCTTCAGGTGATATGAATTCCACACCCTTAATTAAGCTCAAGGTGACTATAATAATGAGCTGAATTAACTTATGCTCATTATACAGACTAATAATCACCATTACTATATTTAAATAACTATAAACAGTTACTTTTAAATACAATACTCCATAATTATGTAAATGTAATTAAGATTTTGTTTATATATATGTATGTATTATGATTAACGTGTGATGTGATCAAGGTGTGTGTGCTTTTATAAGCATGTGATTCCTAATGTAAGATGTAAAACATTTATGGTCATAAGAGTATATTTTTATTCTGTGATTTGATGAATGTGTGTCCCACTGCATACTTATTGTGTAGAACTGGTTTTTATGAATCATTATAGAATTTTAATTTTGTTCCTACTTGCTGTATTGTAACTTTGTTTCTTCCTCTATAGACTGAATGTATTTACAGATCTTTATATCCTTTAACCTTATGTCTATGCTTTATGCATGCCAGATTTATATTTGTGAACTCTAAAAGTTTCTAATTCTTTCTTTTTTGTATTTTTATGGTGCTTAATCTTGTTTGTACATCTTGCATAGGTCGAGAGTTTTTTGTTGGTCTTTCAAATCGTACAAATGAAGCTGGAGCCCGTGCTTTAGCAGCAGCTTTTCCAGAATACCCCGTGACTCCTATCAAAATTGGACATACACCTCACATAAAATCTTTGGTGTCAGTGGCAGGTCCCGACATTCTGTGTGTTAGTGAAGGGAAAGAAAGCAAAAGTGTTCTCAAGGTATATTACTTGCATTTTAAATCTTTTTTTTTTTTACAAGTTCATTTAAACTCTTTTCATATTATTGTGGTATTTATCAATGCTTTTATTGACTTTTGCAACTTAAATCATTTTGGAAGTAACTACTCATCAGTACATAGGTGGTATTTGCTAATTGATTAATCAATCATTTGCATTCAGTTAATTGAGTAGTACAGTATTCCTCAAAAACAAAAAAAGATCGGCAGTGATTGTTACCAGACAATTGTATTCCCTACAATCAATAGTTTAAAATGAACGAAAAAGTTGGAAGCAAGTCAGCTGTTCAAAATTATTTATAGAGGCAGACAGCCTTAGTAGCTTTGCCATAACAAAGGCAATTCGATCAAATTTGGTGGCGAAGGTAATCAAACCTGAGACCCATGAATCACACATCCTTCTCCCCACTCCTGAATTACCAGAGCTGAAAAAATTTGAAGTAAAAAACAACAACAACGTATAAATCTAAAAGTGGGCAGAGCACAGCAAGCTCAATATGTAGTATTGTGCTTACCAACAACAAAAAAAAACAATAGCAATATTTTGATTAGTTGATTATTTTTTTGTGACAATCAATTTTGATTAATTGATTGTTGGAAAAATCCAAAACTGTATAATCAGAAACACTAATTTCAATTAATAAATTAGTTTATGTGGCACTAATCAATGTAATCACTACTCACTGATTAAATCTTCCAGCTCTACTCGTCAGTATACGTGTATCTAATTTGTGTCTTTATAAATAGTGTGTATATCATTAAGTTTATTTTGCTTATTTATCATGATATTATTATGTCGTAGGTTTTCTTAAATGTATTTTCAAAGCTTAATGTGAAAATGCTTCTACTGATCAAGATAACTAAAGATAATATATTAATAATAAATCTAATAGAAGAATGAAAATGGTAAAAACCTGAATATTATTAGCTGTTTGAATTACATTTTCAAATAATTGACTCATATCTGACTTTCTACATTTCATTATAGTTACTCATTTCACCTTCTGAAGTGGTAGATACAGGTATTTTACATAGTTCTCCTATATATTTTTATTTTGCTCTAGTTCACTGAATGTGTAGAATAGTCTTCTGTGTTTAAAATGCTCAACATTTATTCATCGAGAATTCTGGGCTACGTAATAATCAACTTGTATTATATGATTATATGTCCAATTTTACAATGATTTTTAGTTCTGTAAAATCATGGGTAGTTGTTTATTTCCTTCTGAGGTAAAATGTGTCACACAGTAGTTTGTAATGGGATTACATTACAGTGGATTTTTGTTTTTTCTGTGACAGAGAATTGAACAAGAAGCTTCCTTTAGATACCAGACAATCACAGTTCCTGATGATAATGCTGCCAATTGTGTATACATCAATGGGACTTTGATCTATTCTGCAGAATATCCAGAGAGCATTAAGGTTTTTTTTCCCTATACATAGTTTGTACTCTTGGAAATAATATTAGCTTATTAAGTATTAAGAATATTATAATCTTAACTAAATAAACATGAGATTTTTTCAACTTTTGGCAGGAATCTGATTTATTAAAAGTCTCTGAAATGTTTCTAAAGTTGTCAAACAATCTGATAAAATATAAGGGATGGTTGGCAGATGTTAGGATATTAGCCAGAGCTTCAATAAACATTTCTCTTACTCATATTACTTCTTCTTTCTGCCTTGTTTGGAGGAGTGGTCATCTTTCTTATGGGATTAACATGAGTGAGGTTTGAGAGAGAACTATTATGAGATGTACTTTAGGCCCAAGTATAAGTGAGCTATTAAAAGTAGCCAGTCTGCATCAGCAATACATATTATATTATGTACAGGTTTGCCATATTTGTCACATATTTCATATCTATGTTTTTCACAGTTGGTAGCATTTCTACAAACAGTTTTGTTATATATATATATATATACATAAATTAGCTATCTGTAGAATTCAACAATAAAATAAAGTTTTTACTTATAAAATGGCACCAAAAACCACGTTTTCTGTTTAGAAGTTTTAAAGGAGTGTGAATAAAATAATTTTGTTTGGAACTGAAGATTCAGCAGCAGAAATGCTTCAAAGAAATGTCATTATAAATAGCAGTATCACTCTAATAAATGTTTAAGATACAAGTTTGTAAAGTCTGTATGTGTGTGTGTGTATCCTTACAGAATATATTTTTCGTTGTAAATAAGCATTCTACATTACATTAAAAGATTGTTTTGAAGGTGGCGGTAGTAGTACACCCATGTTTTCTTACACTATGAATGTTGTTTCCTTATTACTTCATTGGCCTTGCACTTACTAGCAGTAGGCCTAAGAGCTTAGAACACTAAAAATCTGATTTCAATATCTGAAGTGGGCAGAGGTTTTTATGATATTTTTACTAGGACAATTATTCAACTTTGGGTGGTTTTCGAAAGTGTATGTTTATAGATTTTGGAGGCTTTTGTAGAAATTGAACTTAAAACTTGCTCCAGTGAGGGAAATTATTATATGTTCTTGAGGTAGCTTCATTATCAATAACTTCTGATCAAAACAAGAGCTACCTACATAATGCTAAAAAATTAACCCAATAAATGATGTAGCTAATTTATTTAACATATGATGTGACATTAAGATCTTAAATAGTAATAAGTGAATTTTTCATATAGTAATGAGAATATATTAACATGTCTCAAAGTTATGGTTTATGGACAGAGCAAATTAAAGGTTTTAGGTTATAAAACTTAGAATAACACAAAATTATTCTTATAAAAATGCTCATATTATAACAAATATATTTCAATGTTGTCTGTTCCTTTATACAAGTAAAAGTCATTAAAAATGCTTTAATATTTTCCCATTTCTATAATTCTTTGTATGTTCCTGTTGTCTAAATTAATATTACATTTGAGGTTATTGGAGCTACACACTTTTGATACAGTGTTTATATACAGTATCCCTTAGTTGCTGAAACTCAAACTTTATAAGTGCTTCCTAGTATTCAAAAACTAGTGCAAACAGCCTTTTTATGCTTAGTGGATAAAGTTGTTATCAGTGTAAGCTAAATTATTCTCGAGGTCTAGAAGTAACTTTTATTTATTTTAAGTTTTGTTGCTCTTAGTTGCAATAACTTGGTCAAAATTGTATTTAACTTTGTGTGTGTGGCAATTCAAAGAACATCATGAAAAAGTTAACATAACATTTTTCAGCACAACTGTTTAAGTCAACTCTTGTTGTTGCAAAATCTGTAACAAAAATGGCAGACAAAATAAATGTTACAGTAGTTCCCAACAATTTTACATTTCACGTCAATAAAAGACAAAAAAGATGATTTTATTTTGTATTCAACAGGCTGACTTCAGTCATCAAGTATTTTTTTCTGATTTTTGCTAAATATACAATACATATTTGGGTGTGGGATAAAGCTATATCCGTACATGTTATCAAATATGTAGAATGTTAGCCACCATGTGCTTGTGGTTTCATAGACAAAGTTTTATGTACATGTATTTGTTATTGTTTTAGCTGTCAGAGACCACCTTCTAATCAGGCATGAGATGGCCAGGTGGTTAGGGTGCTCGACTTGCAATCTGCGAGTCACGGGTTTGAACCCCATCACACCAAATATGCTAGCCCTTTCAGCCGTGGGGGAATTATAATGTTACGATCAGTCCCACTATTCGTTGGTAAAAGAGTAGCCCAAGAGTTGGCGGTGGTGATGACTAGCTGCCTTCCCTCTAGTCTTACACTGCTAAATTAGGGACGGCTAGTGCAGCTTTGCACGAAATTTAAAAAACAAAACAAAAACAAATTAGACACGAGTAAGTTCTTAAGATTTAATATTTTGACATAACTGTAGATATTAATAAGAAATAAGCTACCAAAACTGATGTCTTATGTACATGAGTTTTTCTATGCCATGATTGATTTTGTTTTATTTCTGTAGGTGTTCGAAGAGAGGGTGGACTACAACAAAGTTTCAGCGAATGTAAGTGAGCTGAGAAAAGCACACGGTGCACTCACATGTTGCAGCATTCTGATAAAAAAGACCAAATATTTGAAGAAGTTGTAGAAAAAAGTTTGTTAATCCTTACGTATTACTACCTGAAGATTTCAGTTTATTGTGGATCATGGCATAAATGCCAAGTTTCTCTTGTGATAGAGATATTTACTTTGATATATACATATATATATATATACTGAATGTATAAAATTACAGATTTTATTATTTTAGAGCATTGTTAAGGCAAAGGTAATAATGGCTTCATTTTAACACGAAGCTAACCTTCCATGAAAGTCATTTTTTATAGTGTTGCTTTGTTTTGAATTATGTTTTTTTAATAATGGAGTAAAAATCATTGTGCAGTGGATTTTTTATGTTGATATGCCATTAGTCCCACCATGCTTAGTTTCTTTTCTAAGTATTAAATGTTTTTTAATCATTAAGTTGGTTTAAATATGACACTATTTTTTAATGATTGAGTTGATTTAAAATTTATACCTGTTTTACTTTTTATTCATTTATCTTTATCAATTTTTACTAAAGAAATATTTAATAGGTTAATAGTTAAAATTTTCACTATATTTGTTTTTGCATCTATATGTAGAATTAAAGCACTTAAATGTGTAGCATTAGTTTATAGGCACATGTCTAATTACAGTTTTATACAAGAGTTGTAACCTATCTTAACTTGTGCCATCTATCTATTAATTTTAAAAATATATTACTGAATGAGACATTTGTGTAAGTTAAAGGCATGCATTTATAGAGTAAACCATTACTAAACATTCACAAATTTGGCATTTAACAGGAACATCCCAAGTTTAAACTTTGAACACTGAAAATATTACTTTTGGTGTATAATTTGTAAAACTTAATTAAAATTCAAAGCCCTAGTATTATAGTAAAACCTGCCAACTTTATACTCAAAACTTTCAAATTCTGGTATTGAACTAAAAACCTGGTAAGTTTAAACTGATAATTTAAAGTGTTGGCTTTTGACAAAAACTTGCCATGTTTAATGTTCAAAATATGACATTAGATTGAAAGTTGCCTTATGTTTATGGAGATACGAAATTTTAGCATTGTACATAAACTTATCAACTTTTAAAATCTGAAAAATTATAAACTTTAACTAGCCAGATTTAAGCACTGAAATTCACATCTTTGTTTACAACATGAAATTTCTCACAATAGGTTTTAAAATTCAAAATTTTACTTATGAATTGGAAGTTAAAAGTTACAACGGTTAAAGCTGTGTCAGTGATCTGGAATTTGGCATTTTTTTATTTGGAAAATTAAGAAAACAAAACTTAGAAATAAATTGAAATGTGTGTGGCTTGAGATTTATAACATTGGAACTGAACCTTGCTAAGTTTAAACTGAAAATTTGGTTTGCTAGCACTAAATTATAGTTTATAGAGCTTTAGTTTTGTTGGTGATCAGTGTTTGACTTAAAGTATTATTATCTAAAATTTTAGCAATGAAGGAAAACTTCATTTGATTTCAGCATTCAAAACTTTAATGTTGGAGTTCAATTTACCTTGTAAACATTGTAATAATACCATAACTGTTCTTCAAATAATTTCCTTCAACATTAAACTTGTTTTTTTTAAACACATTTAACATGTGATCAATGGATATTCCTATAGACTGTATTGTGGGTTGTTTCAGATCATTCTTGCTATGAATTGAATGTACTAACACAGGGTTTCTGAACTCTTGAGATTTCTGTTGTATTTCAAGATGATGTTTTTATTACATAAACAATGTTTATGTAAGAATTTATTCCAAAATTTTAGAAAGATGGAAACAGAAGTAACAGACAATTGTAGCAATGTGCCTTTAAATTTATTCATTTCACTTTTACATATAAATATATTTATGTGTCTAAGTTAAAGTTTATACAAAGTAGATTTGTCTTTCTAATTTAATGTTATATGTTGTTATATATCTGGTTGGGTTATGTTGTGCTTCATTAAAAGTAATGTGTTTTTGTCATTGCTAATTAGAAACAAAAATCTGTCTTTGTGATATGGAACTAAAATGAATTGCCTTAAAAATAGAGATTAATTTCTCTGATAATGAGCAACATTGTGTATGTGCTTATAACTCAAAACATATCTCTAATACCTGTTTTGACAGTAGTTCGTCAGTAGAGCTTAACAAGTGGTTGTTACGATATTATTGTAGTCATACAACATTTTCACAATCAACCTTGTAGTGAGTTAGTTTCATGTGTGACGTGGTGAAATCCAAAACACATTTTATCCTTTTTAACAGAAGTCATATACTTTCATTATTTATGTGTGTGTAAATGAATTTGAATTGGTCTATAAATTTGTCATAGGTGTTACTTAAGGATAAGTTGTGTTATATGTATATCACATAAAAGTGTCACAATCTGGACGTGAATACCTACATAATTTTTAAAAGCAGCAGAAAATTATATCTACATAAAGATGTTAACTTTTTATGTTTTTATTAAGAAACAAATTAATAAAGAATGAAAACTGAAGCAGTATTTTACTAAATTGGATAAGACTGAGTATTTCATTATAAAACTATGACTAAAGATATGATTATAACTATAAGAACACAGATGATGATTGAGGTGCTTATTATATTACTAAATGGCCTTTTAGCTTAGTACTATCAAAACTCAAAAATCTAATACATTCCAGATCAGTTATGTATTACTAAACAATCAAATCCTGTAAGTTGTTTATAAATTGTGATGAGCCTTATTGAAGTTATATTAGTATTTGAGGAGAATTCCTCAGACTATAAAAAATTCAGAAACTTACGAAGTGAATGAAGATACTTTAATAGTTTGATTACATTTTTAATTTGCCTAGTTCAAGCTTTAATCTGAACAGGTTTACTAATTCTAACTTAAGTACACTCCTCAATTAATTAGATTTGTCTGTGGTCAATTTCTTTTTTATATAGTTAGTTTGATACTGAGTTGGTCTGTGACCCTAGTAAATTACATAAAAATAGTTAAAGCATTGCTAAAAGTAACGACCCAATAATTTGATTATTTGAATATTCTATTTTTAATAGGATTCAACAGTTTAGTACAGTATATTTTCTAAAATCGTTCATATTACTGAAGGCAGTGTTGAGTTAATTATTTTGAAGCCAAATAAATGTGATTAATGGTTAGAGATCCAAAATGATGATATCCATACATTCTTTACCCAACTTTTGTTTTTAAGCTTAACTTTGCATAGATTGAAGTTTTAGTTTTGCTTGAAATATACAAGTCCCTTGTTTACCAAGCACTGATGACTGTACTTATGTAAACAACATTACTAAAACAATAATAGGTACTTGTTTTCCATAATTATTGTAAAGCAGATTGTGAGAATAGGAACCAACAATGAATATATGCGGTAAAATTATTTTGTCTGAATAAATTTTACAAGATGTTTGATTTTGTTGCTCATCTAACTTGTATATTTAGACAATCCAGGAACATTAGATTTGAAATACTTTAGAATTAGTCACTGATTTCAATAGTAATTAATGAAATAATGATAAGTAAGTTAGTTCTTTTCATGAGTAAGAGGCATATAGGGCTGAGGCTTAACAATGGTTTCCTGTGGCACAAGCGAATGAAAATGGTGACACATTGTTCACCTGGGTGGGAGTCTACCTAGCTGTATAATGTTTAGCTTGGAGTTAACTTGCAATGGACTGGCATGTGAAGCAATTAAGGAGAAGTGTCTTGCCCATGGACACAACAAAAGCCTTGAATCGACAACTTCTCGACTATGAGTCCTGAGCACTTACCAGTAGGTCATGCCGCCTCTATAACAATACATATACTGTTATAAAGATCTTGAAGTTCATATAGAAGACCAGGGTAATTTAACACGAAGGACAAACAAAGTGATAATTGAATTTGCACTTGAAAGATTTCAAAATAACTAACATTAATGATCATTTGAAAGAATAATATGTTCATTAGTTACTAAATATAATTACATCCATAAAATATTACTCTTTCCCTCTCCAAAAGAGTTTTTTTTTTATCCTTACTGGCCTCACTTAGCTAAGTGTTATCTGGATTCATTGCTAGCAAACATACTTCACTATTGTACTATATATTATTATTCACTACAGTATTCTACTACTACTAGTTTAATTTGTTTTTTAAGTAGAAAGTTTAGATATACTACTTATTTTTAGTTATTGTACGAACCGAGAAGTGTGTTTCTGCTAAAGTTAAATTTATCTTCCACTTTAAATTAAAATTTAACCAAAAAGCCTTCATTTTCTACATAAAATGATTATGCATGTTAGTGTATAATTCGTACTTGGTATTTGGATTAACATCTAGGTGTTATTGTTTTACTTGTTGTTTCATAATTGAGGCTGTAGGTATGTGGCAGTAGCAATAATTATGCTGTGTTAGACTTGTCACATCTGTGTAAAGTTTTGAGTCGTTTGAGTTAGTTCGATTGATAAGAGAGTGTGTTATATTACTTTTTTAAAAGTGATGCTAGAAAAGTAAATTGTTATGGAACATATCCATATGAAACTAAGTGATGGATATTATCATATGAACCTGGTTCCAAAACTCATCCTTGGGTAACTCCAGTTGAACAGTGGAACATATCCATATGAAACTAAGTGATGGATATTATCATATGAACCCGGTTCCAAAACTCATCCTTGGGTAACTCCAGTTGAACAGTGGAACATATCCATATGAAACTAAGTGATGGATATTATCATATGAACCTGGTTCCAAAACTCATCCTTGGGTAACTCCAGTTGAACAGCAGAAAAATAGTAGATGTGATAATAAACATTCTTGTAAGAAATAAGAAACAGACAAATTCAGTTTACTTAGAAAGCAAATTAGAACAATACAAACCACTAGCTTACTTATAAACATGGAAAATGGGAAAGTAAGAGTGATAGAAAATATATGATGAAACATTAGAACTGACTTGAGTAAATGTGTTACATCATCAAATGAAGATACATTATGGTAGGTACTGTACTGTGTTAATTCTCAAAATACACATTAAGTTTGCAACCAGAGTCTAGAGAACATCATGGAACCTCCATTATAGTGTATGACGACTCAAATTCTACAGTGTTCATTCTGTGTCCTTGCATAATTCGTTGAAGAAGTAGGTTCTAATTGGGAAATGCAAATGTAAATAACAAAAATTAATAATTCTCACTCAAAGGTAGCTAAAGGCAGAGTTTAAAACCCAGAATATGCAGGCAGAATGATTTCCATTTCTAACCTTCCATGGTAAAATGTATTATACAATCATTCAAAATATCCTTATTTTATCCATAGAAGGCTGATGTTAGAAGTGTTCCCCACCTAAATTAATCAGGAACTTAATGAGAGTGTTCTTTTCTTACTTTGAGTGTCTGCATTATAACACTGTTTTATGTGTATTGCATTTCTCATTATTGTTTACATTCCAGTGTCATTGGAAAAGTGAATATGTACTAACAAACATGGCAACCCCTAAAACAATAACCAGTAAATTATTCTGTCCCATGAGACACTGGTTTTTTAGGTACTTCCACAGACCATATTTGGAGTATATGTTGTTATAGCAACAAAGAACAAGCTGCATACACAGCTAGCTCCAAAAGTATAAACAGTTTTTTTGACATATGCTTTAATGAAAAAAATTCAAACTGTAAAAACTGTCATTACAGATTTGAATGCCAAAATACCTTAACTACTGAAATTAAGAAGCTCCACTTAGAAATGATTGCAGGAAATAAAAATTATGCTAATCTACTTGTTGCATATACACATTGCAGGTAGTTTGCTGGCATATGTAATGATATTAATCACTTATAAGAATTATTAGATATTTTAATGCAAAATCATTCAAAGCACAAAAAACATGGGGAGGGATAGACCAAGAGACACTAAAATGTTACAATAATTGTGTTCTTACATCTCAATTTCTTTCAAAGAATATGGCAAACAAAGGTGTGCACCTATACTTTGAAGAAGCCTGTTACATAATCAATTCAATGTATTGCCTTTTTTTTACCTATGAATTTTATTGTTCCTACTATTAATAAAGGAAATAGCCATTTTATAAAATTTAGTCTTTAAGGAATTTTTGCCTTGTACCTAAGAAATATGTTGCTTATAATAAAAGTACAAAAATATTGCTAATCATTTAAAAGTTGAGTATTTTTGACAAGAGAAAATGTATGCTATTTCTGTGTGTTTTAATACTTGTATTCATGATTATTGACACATGTTCATTATCTTATTACAGGAGTTTATGGTAAAGAGATTAAATACGGTTTCTTGATAGTTTATAAGTAATTATTACAAATTATTATTGTGATATACATAAGATTTCTTTTTACACCTATAATGTGTGTGTATTGTGCAAATATTGGACTTGACAATAAATAAAAAGCTAATGAAAGGTAGTCATTGAGTGGTTATCTGATGGAAATATTGTTATTCTTACAGGTAATTACATTTGAGATACGATGATTTAACCTATCTCTACATCCATTGATTTTAGTTGTGCTTTGTTCTTTCAGCAGGTTTAGAAAAGATTCCCACTAATTACAATTTAAGTGATATTAAACAATATTCTTCATATTTATATCATGAAATCATTTGATTTAGGAATATGGCATAAGAAAGAAAAACTGAATATGTAAAATGCATTTACAAACAAGTTTTTCAACATAGTTATGATCATATGTAAATCCCCTTTCTTCTGTTTCAACACATTATTCCTTTAAACACTAAAGTTATAATAAATCAAGTGAGATTAGATTGGTCAGCATGCAATATTTTCCATTTAAACATGATATATTTTTATGTCTTAAAAGGCTGTCCAATAATGTTTTCTGCACTAAGGTTATCATTTGAGCTTTTTTTTAAATATATTTCTAGAGCTTGTTTTGTGAATTGTTTTCCACAATTACCCATGATTTGTCTTTTTTTAGCAATTTATGACATGTAGCTAGGATATATAGGTGGTCAAACCAAGTTGTCGAGTTAGTACAATTTGACCAGACAGATTTCCATTGTCTCTTGTGGAGTGTAAACATCTTTACTCTAGCAGATGTTTCTCCTATCATCAAACGTTGGTCAGATAAAGCTAGCTGTGCTAGAGTACATTACAGGAGGGCAACCTCTGCTTCTGCTAGATTAAACTATTGGATTTTGAGTGTGGTCTGGACATAAACTTGGATGGATGTAACATTCCACTTGCACTCAGAGGTATAGAGGCTAGTGTGGGTAACTGTGGATTTGGTGTTAGGTGGTATGTGCTTGTGATAATACATGGATTAGAAGTTGAGCCACAGTGTTATATGAGTCTAAAGAAATGTTTCTCACTTAAAAATTACATTTTTGCAAATGAAAGTATTCACTATCAAGAAGGAGAGTCAACTGCTGAAGAGAAACAATATTAGAGAAGCGTCAAGTCTAGATGATAGGATTTTGCTCATGATGTGGAGGTCCATAATGTCAATTTCTCTGCAACTTCAGATTTTGGAAGTTCAGCTGATGTTTAGTGTATCCTAAATGGCAGATTGGGTTCTGTCCCTGAGAATTAGTCTCAATGAAAGGGTAGCACATATGATTGAAGGTGATCAAGGTGTAATGGCACCTGGCAAGTCTATATGGAATTGTATTTACAGTACAGGACTCCAAGACCATCAACAGCCAGAGAAACAAAACCTCAGCTCTGGTTAAGACCAGTTGAGAAGGGCTGAATGTGTAGCTGGTGGATAAAGTCAGCCAGTCAGGGATGCTTTCCCAGCAGGTGAGACAACAAGCACCAATTTAAAATTCAAAAAGAACAGGAATCACAGGGCAGTATGAACCTTTCTGAGCTTGGAGGTATTCTGCCAGGGAAACCAGAGATCATGAAGAAAGTTGGGTTTGCATAGAGCTTCAAGATGAGCTGCCAAGAGCATCTCATTACTCTGCCAGCCTGGACTAATCATTCATACAAGGATCAGAGTCCCTAAATATGTCTACAATCCCATAACCAGGACATCAGCAGTATTTCAGTTAGGCATTGGCAAACAAAAGTACAGGGCAGAGGTGTTGGCCAACACCATGGATTCCTGGGAGTGAAGTCAAACAGATGTTCAAAGGTCTAGCAAAGGAAGATATGGATCATTTTCTGAAGCATTTCAGGCAGGTAACTGCTTGGAATGGCTGGTATCAGGACAGGCAGTTCAACACTTGATCCTTAGCTTAGACAGTCCAGTCCTGGACTCCATATAAATAAAAGGTGAAAGACATCTCCAACAGTCAGCCACACTACTACCACTGATCTTCTGATCAATATGAGTAGGACTAGCCAATCATCTGAAGCTAGGAACAGCTAGAGCTAGTAGATGTAATGCCTAATACATCAACAGTTTGTATAACAGAAGGTGATAGCTAAGAGTTTGAAAATCAGTTGAAATGATATATTGAAACATTGCTTTCTAACCTATCAGGTGATATTTCATGATGCAATGTAAGCACTATATTTTGCGGTTGCTACTTGATTTACTTAATAAGTTAGGGTGCTTAGGTGGTTAAAAATTCAGTGACTGAAAGAAGATTCCCACCCTTGCTTTCTGAGCTACTAAGAATTTTTCTATGCAAAACATTTTCACATGTTTCAAGAAAATCATTCATCTGATTTAACTGAGTGGCAAGAACTCTTTGCTCAATTCTTCCCCATATATCTGGAGAATGTATGTTGATTCTGCATGCAGCGATGTAGTTGTGTTTCCTCTGAGTGTAAGATGACAAATAATAGTAACAGCACGAATATTAATCCTTGCTGATGAGAATTTTAGCTGAAAAGTCTTAGTTTGGCTGACTTCTTCCAGTGATTACTTCTTTTGTTATACTTGAAAAGAAAACGCTGAGTTTGATGATCCATAGATGGCAGCACATTATGGGACCACAGCTAGAGAGAAAATTAACAAACTAATGGAAGCAGAGCTGGAGGCAATCTGTTATAAGTTACTAGAGTATGTTACATTGTGTAATGCCAACATATGTGTAAAGCAATATAGGTGTGTGTGTGTGAACTTTACAAAAGTCATTCATGAGCATTGAATAACATGAATGGATCAAATATACAAAGAACACAACAGTAATTAGGATATGCAAGACATTCGATTGGACCAAACTGAGATGTTTATGAATGGGTGAAGTTATCTGTCGTAAATAAAATTCACGGGCGGAAGGGTAGATATCATAAATATAAACTTGGTGTACTCAGTGTTATATTTGTTAGTGATAGAATATTTTCAGTCATGCAGACTGAAATACCTTTAATAAGCACACAGTTTTACTGAATATTTTATCAGCATTGCTTTAGTAAAAGGTGTAGTTATAATGAATTAAATTGCAGGTTGTAGTTGTACTAAGGGAGTTGGAAAATAACTGCATTGTGAATGTTTCGTAAGTCGCGCCCAAAACTAGTATTAAACTTGTGACTAGAAGAAGGTTACTAAGGAGAGTTCATGTAAACTTTACTGAATTCTAATGGTCAAAAGTAAGGGTTGAGGTCACCTAACCTAAGTCAACACGTGTGTAGGAATCAGTTTTGTAGTCTCGATCCATATTTCTTTCTGCTGACATCAAGCTCTATACATGTCATAATCAGATGGTGGGGAGTGAAATGAGGTCGGGTTAAAAAGTAAACTGTGTTGGCTGTGGTCAATCACGAACAACAGAGAAGCACAGCTAAAGGTTTTCTTCAACTAGGAAACGAATTAAGTCTGAGGATTGGGTAATTCACAGGCATTGGGTATGCATCTTCTTTGGGTGATATAGGGCATGAGTACATGTAAACCCCTAGAAATATCATTTTACCAAAGTGCAAAGTTACAGTCTTAGCTCTAAAGGATTTTAAAGCAAGGAATTATAGTAACTGAGTTGTTACAACTCTTTTCAACCTACACACCTATCTAAACTTTTGATTAATTGGAATTCACCTGAATTTATATCTTCAGTACAGGCTTTTGCTATTTAAGACTGAATTCTATTTTTTGACCAGCCATGGTTATCCTGCCTTGTTCCTGATAATCTCTCTAAGAATCCACAACTGCATAATGGACTACCTGTTTGATGAGAACCAGTATGCCCAGGACTTTTTCCACGATGAAGGGGTAGACTATGCTACTGATCCTCAGACTCAAGGAGCTGGCCTGATGTTTACTGTGGTAGAGCTCGTGCAAGAACATATGTTGCTGGCTGAAGTATCAGATATTGGAGAATTTGCTGCTTACATCATTTGGTTGGCCCTGAAATCTCATATGGTCACGTAGTACCATCAGAAGAGATCGATCTTATTGGACATACTGGTGACCACCAATTTATTGACACTGGAGGATCTGAGCTTCCATATTGTGCAGCAGCAGCAGACTATGTCGCCCATACTGACACTACCTTAGTACAAACCACTGTCTTTTTGAAAGAAGGATCTACTCTTGAGATGCTAATGTTGCTGGATGTGTTCCCATAATAGTAAAGACTGTATATTTTATTTTATTGTTTGTATTTGAAGTATATAAATATATATATGTGTTGTATATTTTTTACCACATTTCATTGAGTTTCATAACAAGAGTTTATGTCATGCTAATATGTTCGTAACAGGGTTCAATTTTAACTTGAGTGTCTTACTCCAATACATTTAGATTTTAATGTGTAATGATTTTCTTTAAAATATCTTATTTTGTAATATAAGTTTTTGCTTTGTCAAGGGTTAATTTTGATTTCAGTGTATATGCTATTTTAATAAAGGACATTCTAATGTTAAATAATTATGTGCATTTCATTATTAAAAGGGTTCATTTTATCCTGAGTTTTGATTTTGTTTAATTATCCATGTAGCATTTCTTTGTTAAAGGGTCGTTCTGTCTTTTATGCTGTAAAAGTTGATTTGGCATTATAACTGTCATGGACATTTTTGAAGTGCTTAATCAGCACGTTATGTGTTCAAATGGCTCTTTTTTTGTTTTATTTGCAATTCTATTTTACTCTTTAACGGGTAAAGTTGTAACAGTGTTAAAGAGATTTTTAAACATGTCACTGCCAAAATGTTTCTTTTTTATCATTGTTTTATACAATGTCGTCAAAGTTGTGTTTAATATTAAAGAGTACAACATGATTAATTAGGATTTTTCATTGTTAAAGGATATATCTTATGGTATAACTATGGCTAAATAGTTTCTATCTTAAAGGGCTTATATATGTATATGTGTGTATGTCTGCTTGTATCTTTGTTAATGGGTTTATTTTTGTATTATGTAATACTGAATTGCCAAGGGTTTTCTTTTTATTAGTATTATTATTTTACTGTATATTGTATTTTATTGTAAAAATGTGTTTTAATGAACCTGTGTATAATTTCTACGTTAAATGATTTATTTTTTCAATATGTTTATATATT